GAGGGATGTTGCGGGCGCCCCCGATGCTCGGGGCGCCAAGTCAGCCGGAAACCTCTAATAGCCCTGTCTCGTCTACATACAAAAGGAGAGACGGGGGGTGGGATGGAACACGCGGGGGTGGATGGGGGGACAGACGGAGATAGAGTCCACAGGCGCACGTTGAACGCAGCCACAAAGCTGGGCTGTATAGGTTGCACGGTTGTATCTCGCCGGGTATACGATAACCGCACCCTCGAGGTGAGTTTGAGGGAGACGTTCGGCCAGGTATCCCTACATTAGAGCCACCGCTAAATTCATAATACGCCGACGGAACGCGTACCACACGTATCTCTTTCGTGTTTATAGAGCTGCCCTGGCTTGTCCCTTTTCAGCCACAAACTGGCAAACATTGGTCCATCGGCGGAGAAGAAACGTCGGCATACATGTCGAACATGTTTCAATCGAGAGGGATGTGTATATAGAGTTGAGAAGATAATTAGAGATTTTTATACGGAGCGTTATGAATATTCAGAATTATCACTAGGTTCTGATTTATCTACCTTTTACTTTGGGTACATGGGCTAGCGATTAGCAATGGATTGTCAGATATGACTAGACTACGGATATTTATACAAAATAATATTTTCTAAAGTAATTTATAAAGACAGGTGCAAATGTAGAAATTTATTTTTTCTCTTAAGTATCTTATCGGGTTCAGACAAAAATAGAAAACTCATTCTATTTCACAGAGCCGTATGGGCTATAAATGCATAAAATCCGCAGTCTAGATATAACAATTCTGACAGTTCCGCAAGCTTCTACCTCTAAACTACAGATTTCGTAGGCTTTACAGAGTTGACTGTCTCTACTGTATGTATTTCTACCCACGTACCCTCTGCAAGGCCCCTGAACGTTATTAGAAATAGGTCCATCTAGGAGCTAGATTGATTCTGAGTTGGCACTTGGCCTATTGACCAGTCACGATGGAAAACACAGTTGGGACACTGAGGACAAGGTCCCTTTTCCCGTGGAACAGAATTTTGTTTCACCTCTTGCAATCGAGCCACTTCGTTGAAGTAAAACCCTGAAACGTAGTACGAACGGCCCCCGGAAATCGCGTACGAGAAAATCGATGACGATTTACGACGAGCGTGATTGAACCCCTAAAAAGGCGAGCCATCTCTTTGGCGAGGGAAGCGCGCAGCATCTCAGGGAACGTAAACATCGGGCCTATATAGATCCGTCTACGTGATGAGATCGGAAAGTGTATACAGACGATCCCCATGATCTTCACCCCTATCGACTTTACTTTGCGCCGACGGTGGACAGGTTGTGTTTATTGTGAAAACACGGAGGCTACTGCTGTGCGTTCGGACGTGTAAGGATAGCGTGTGTGTGCTTAAGGGCGTGTGCAGCCTGCGACTGTATTGTCACAATGGTACAAAGACGAGGATTTTGGTCGATAACATTTCCCTGTAATCACAAATCGTGGCTGGGAGGTTTGTAGCTATGTAACTCGTGGGATTTTATTCAATCATCGGAGACTTATTTCGTTCAAGTAATACAATGCTGAAGAATGCTTTTGATACAGTATATGTATTCCAATTCTATAGTATTAAGTGTACACCAATAATTAGTTCACCATTTTTGGTAATTATAAAGGAATATATTTAACATCAAAAATATCTTTTTGATCTTTTGTCTGAGTAACTAGAATCTAGGATGCTGGAAATCAATATACATATTATAGATACTACAAAAACGAATAATGCTTCCGTCAAGAAACTGTGTACCACTTTCAAGCGCGCGTAATATTTTCCATCGTTATATTGCATCGAATACCAAGTATCAAAATTGTCTAAGAATATTACCAAATAAAGTTAGCTTGGGTATGTATCACAAAATGATTCCCCCATAAAGACAAACGTTCACCACCTCGATTGATTTACAACCGAACCAGATAGTTACCAGCAAGAGCAACATGAACCTTCCGGGTCGGACCATCTCTCTCCACCTAATCATCACGTCCATTTGTCTCGGCACTACTCGAGAAACTTCAAAGAGTAATATTTTCTCGGGTACGAACGAGGATCAGAAACAGATAAGTTAGGGATGTTTTCTTATCGGGACGACCAACGAGCGCGTGTGCCACTTGTCGGTCTGTCACCATTCACAGAGAACAGTCATCCGGCTCGTCAACCCCTTGCAGCCGTCCGAAAGCGTGCACACTTGACTCGCGAGCGGTGCGGTCGGTCCAGAACCCGTGCACCCCTAAAAGGCGCACCTAACGGCGAAGGTAACGCGAAGTATAACGGTTCGACCCCTCGTAGCTATTCCGGCTGCTGGCTCGCGCACGAACAATATTTGCAGAGCTCTTATTCCCGCACTTCCCAACCCCGTAAGCGCCGCTTCAACCACCCCCCTCCTCCGCCATCCACCCCCCTGGCCGCTGTTTCCCTCCTGGTCGCTCCGTCGAGCCGAGCCGTTTCTCTCGCCACCCCTCGTGTGCACCAGCAACCACCTACCTACCTACCTAATAATGATTTTACGTTACGCCATGCCGGTCCCCGGGGAATCCGACGGTGCCGCACCCTTATTGCACATGGCCCGCGCTCACGACGAAGGGAACACTGGGACGAAGGGGCGGAGAGGGCGGCTGAAAAGAGAGGACTGATTATCATTAGCCAGCACAGTCCCAGAACACCCTCGGTTTACTGCTTGACGCACGTACGCACGCCACCTCGTCGATGCTCAGGGATTTCGTTTCGTCCGGGACGGGGGCGAGATATACGGTCGATGATTGAGGATTTTAATTGAACTAGTTGACTGGAACATAGAGGATATCGGGCTGGGATAGATCTCTGGAAGAGTTTGAGAATACTGGGTTCTTGGTCCACTAAACGGAGGAAAGAATGATCTATGAGTCTGAAGAGACGATTGATTTTAATTGAAATACCTAGTTAACTGCCATGGAAGATAAAGGATATCGGGCTGGGATAGACCTCTGGAAGCGTTTGATAATACTGGGTTCTTGGTCTCGCGAATGGAGCAAGGACTGATCTAGGAATCAGAGGAAATTACTGGTTTTTGGTTGGCGGTGTAGTAGAGAGTGGATCCAATACTGAATTCTTGTTGTAGTAAGTGGAGCAAAGGATGATCTATGAATCGGAGGGTAAGAACGATTTTTGGTTCGCTGTATAGTAAAAAGTGGAAATGCTCGATGTTTAAGACTTCAGATTGTATTGGTAAATTGTTAAAAGATTTCTCGCAAGAGAATGATCTATTAAGAACGAAGTTTCTTGCTGTAAAATGGTAATTGAAGAAGTGGAATCTTCCCAGGGAAATCAAGAAAACAAAAGAAGGCGGAACATGCGGTTGTCCTCGTTGTACAGTAACATCGAAGCAAGCGGACTGTGAACGACATCGGCCGGCCAGAGCTCTCTGAATTTTTCATCCCCCTGAATAATGAATTAAATGTTCCGTGGCGACCCTCCGAAGGTGGATGCGTGGAAGGTGGACAGAGGACCGTAGACAACACACACCGTGGTCCCATAGGTTGTTAGGAGCCTACGGAAGTGACCATCGTTTTGTATCCTCTTTCGCCGGCTCCTTCTTCGGTTGTTTCACCGAAAGGAGGGTGAACGAGGGGGGTGGGTGGGTGGCGAATGGCTGTCAGAGCGACGAAGGAGGAGGAGGAGCATGGGGGAGGACAAGGTGATAATTTGATAAGACATTGGGAGGGTTGCCATGGAGACGATACAAAACCCAGACCCCTGACTGGAACACTCCCGCAACCTCCTTCGGATGTTCCTCTACCCTCGCTTCCACCCTCGAAGAACCTACTCCTTGAGGAGCGTCGCTCCATCAACCAGGAGACACCTAAGTGTCAAGTGTCCCAACACCGTCGCCCACTCAACCCAGTACTACCTAAGAGATGCTACCTTGTCTGGAACTTCGATACGTACCGGCGATGGCAAACACTGGAGGAAATTGTTTACCGTAGCGCGGTGTGATCAAACTTCTCGGTTTTGTATTAATATTTAGAAATTCTAGAGGTTCGATTTATTTAGAGGATTTTAGGTATCATCGAACGATTACAGATTGTATTCTCTCGATGAATACGGAAGCATTGGTTATAAATTGTTTGTTATTTTTATACCTCGTGTTACCCACGAACGATAGGCGTGAGTTTTCATCACAGGAAAGTGTTTAGAGTAATACGAGACGATGCACTTCTCGGAGGAAATAAAAATCCATATACGAGATATTTATTTCTGGGAGTCGGGTGGGGTAGAACGACCTGTCCACGTTTCCCACGAACAATTTTCGTCATAGATAAATTCCATTCGAAGATTGGGGGCTCCGTTCTGTCACTTCACGTCGTGAGAACGAGGAACGAGACAGAGAAAGAGAGTTACAGAGACGGAGGAGGACAGAACGATGACCACCCCCCGAAAGACATTACGATTATTACCGAGTGAAGCTCCCAATGAGGGGCTCGCCACCCCTAAAATGCACTGGCCACATGTGCCACGATCCAACCGGATCCTCTTGCTCGCGGCAAGACTTCGTCCAGACGGTTAACTGCATTATTTATCGTACGGACTTGCTCTGCTAATTGATTCCACGGGATCCCCCCGGTTGCGATAAATGGGAACGAGGATCTCGAATTGCGCGATTCACGATGACGGATTTAATCCCGTATTGTTCTTTGCGTGTCAATATACTTTCCAAGTCAACGCATGAATTCTATTAACTCAAAAAATTGTACACTTCCAAAACTAAAAGCATTAATAAAACCCTAAACAAAATAGTTTACGTAACTCTTCAACCCCTTCCTGCTTACTATTCATCCTTTGCTCAAAATAATTAAAGAAGATAGTATGGAACATTTAATTTACCCACTTAATGCCAGGGTTTTTGAAAAACATCACTGGTACCGGTCAAAATGTCTTTTGAAAATAGAGGATTCATTCTCCGAATTTTATATGATATATGTATATGTATCGAGTATCACTCACCAGTGTGTATGTAGGTATGTTTCTTCATGTCGCTCTTCTGATGGAATCTCTTCCCGCAAAACTGGCAGGGGTACGGTCTCGTGTCCGAGTGTATTAACAGATGAGTGCTCAAAGTACTGGATCGTTTGAACGCCTTGCCGCATTGCTTACACTCGAACACCTTCTCCGCGGAATGCACGGCTCTGTGTTGCGTAAGGCTGATTTCATGGCCGAAGGTTTTATTGCAGAGTTCGCAGGCGAACGGTCTCTTCCCGTTGTGAGACCTCCTTGCGTGCACCTGTAATCAAAGAAGAGTCTCGTATGAACACGTAACAATAAATTATGTTCAATCATTGGGATCCTTCAAAGCAACAAACTAGAATGGATTCTGGTTCACACATCGGGTCTAGCGTCCTTTAGCCTGATTATGCGATGCATCACAGAACATTCGATTAGATTTTGTTGCTTTAGCTTTGTCCCAAATAAACGATTGTCACGATTAACCGGTGACCCAAATAAGCGAAATCTACTGTAGGGGAATGTTGCCAAATTTGGACTTCGCCTAAGATTGGACCACTACTGTAACTTGTCATGCGTAAGCAATTTGCGCCGTCTGATACACAATGTATGATGATGTCAACATGGACCCTAATATTCTATCTCACAAAATGATAGCGGTGATTGCATCGAGTAACTTAATACACAAGCAACGCATATTGTCTACAACTTAAATTGCTCACAGTTGCAGTAGTAGACCTAGGCAATGGTCCAAATTCGGCAACCTTACTCTACACCCATTCAACAGGAGTACATAAATGTATTTCCACACAGAATATCATTTCAACTAAAAAATTCGTATCAAGATAACACCAGAATATACTGTACAATCTGAAAGCAACTACAGCAACGTACCTCAAGGCCATGGGGCGTGCTGAACATCTTGTCGCACTTGACGCAGCTGTAGACATCTCCAAGTGGATGAGGATGATGAAGTCCGTGGCCGCTGTGGGTCGAGTGGAGGCCAGGGTGACCTGGATGTACGCCCCGTAACAGGGGGTGTAGGTGCGGTGGTAACAAATGATGAGGCAGCAGCTGAGGATGCAGGTACGAGAGAGGATGATGAGGATGGGGAGGTAGGAGTCCACCCTGAAGATGAAGGGGCGGATAGAGCATCGAGGAGCCAGGTGGTGGTGGATGTCCACCGATCGACGCGCCGTCCCGATGCGGGGAGGCGTTCTGAAGGTGAGCGGACGGCGGGTCAGGCCTCAGAAGCGCGGACACGCTGAATGTGTCGCCGGATTTCTTGGGCGGGTTCGAGACTGGCGAGATCGCGACACTCGTCGGCGAGGGGGTGCTCGATGATCGTGGAGGGCTCGACGCTGCATCACGATCATCCTCGTCACCGACTTCCACGACGTCCACGTCGACCTCTTCATCCTCGACGTCCACGTCCACCTCGCCGACGTCTCGTCGATCCGACGGCGGTGAGTCTGGACACAGAGAGTGCGTCGGGGATGGACTCCTCGTCGCCGGGGAACCCACCAGACGACCGACTCCAAAGGACAATCGTTCTGAAAATCAGAGTTCCGAATCTGAGTCACATTTTGATTTATGGGAAATCCTCGATGACTGTTCGCAGGCTCCTCGACAGGTGTAATGCTGGGTTTTTAACGAGGTTTAGTACAGTTATAGAACCTGGAATTCTGTAGTCAATGGTATTTATTCCAGACCCATATGGCCATTAGTTTATGAAATATTCAATGTTCAGTGCCGAGAAGCCTTCGACTACTCATCGAGGATTTACTGCATCGATCATAGTACGCTTTCATTTACACCAGTGTTTTCCAAAAATTTTGGGGGAGCAATTAACAAATCGTTGACATTCCCTTTTTTATTTACAGCAGCTATTACATTTTTTCAAAACTCGGTTTACTATTATACTAGAGGGGCATCAAGATTTTTTAGGCGTTGAAGAGGGGCATAATCTAAAAGAAGGTTGGCAGACACTGATTTAGACGCAATAACGTGGACAGGATTATTTGATAATCATCGCCGCGACAACGTATTTTTCGACACGTGAATTAATCGAAATCTGGACTGCGCGTAGATTAACGATCGAGATTGACGATTGATACACGGCGATATGTAGCTTCGTGTGGAGGGAACGAGTAGGTTGACGAGTCACGTATAGAGGACAAGTGAAATAGGAGACGCTGTAGGAAGGATGCAGGAGAAGGTAAATTAGGTTTTCCTCCGAAGGAAGAGCTTGCTGGAATGAGATTTGAGTCACGTACCGGCTCCTTCTTTTTTTTCTGACTGATCTCACGCGGAAGGGTACGGGGGTTAACGAGCCATCGCGAAGAGAGCGAATCGAAGCTTCAGTGGGTACATACCCACCACGTTCTTTCGCGACGCATCCTCTAATTTGTCTTTCAAATAATCGTGGTCGAACATCAAACGAAAACAAAAAAAGACGATAATCTACACACTATTTCGAAACGTTTGCAAGAATTAATCGCGACAGGGGGGTAGAGATCGATCACTTCAAATGTTACGGATTAACCTTTCGCAAACACAACGACACTCGTCGGCGGCTACTCCACTCCAAGCGCAGATAAAATGAGCGAGGAATTTAAATCAGAACAATAGTCGTGGACGCGTTCGCTCATCGATCATCGACTTGATAATCAGCCGATAGGTGACGGAGGGGGTTTATCGACAAACTGGTCGCGATCGAGTCGCGCATTTCGACGGTGATTCAACGTGGATGGAAAAATTGCTCGGTATTTCTAATAATCGTGGACCACCTCGATGATCGTGATTTACGATGTTCGAGTCGCTGGAGAAACGGGGACTCGTGAGTGAAGCGCGGGGGGGGGGGAGAAAGGGGGCCCAGAAAGGGGGACCTGCACCCTCGAATACGACGATATCAATCGGGCGATCGTAGAATGCATGGTGTATACGCCCAGTATATTATATTTATAATCCGTGCGCGTGACACGCGGTCACGTGCCCCGGCTCTATGATGCACCGGTGTCGGTTAATCGCATTTAAAGCTCGCCACGATCCCCGACGGAAGGGCCGATTATTATCGTGTCTCCTGGTGGCTTTGCAATCGAATCAAAATACGACAGGAGTCTCGGTGGAGTGCTCTAATGTAATGAGAAATGCCCGCGATACGAGTCGAGAAGCAAAAAAAAGAAGCACGGATAGTATGAGTAAAAAGTTATGCCTGCGGGGGAAGTAATTGGTAATTGTAACAAAAATGACCCTGTTATAAAGAATTCTTAATATCCTGGAATAGGAAGGAACACTATTAACTGCTTTATAATTTCGGAAATTTATTTTCTTTTTTTTTTAGAATATCATTAATACTATTCTCAAGCGACAAGAATTCTTAATAATTTTCATGTTTCAATGATAAAGCATTAATTCGATTTTCCACAGTTTTTACACGTTCGCGTATCAAGAACTCAGAGGTCGCGATTCCTAAGCTGTCTTTTTCGAGGATTGATTGATTAAAGATTATATGTAATTATATATTATTATATATAGGTCACGTGCTGATTAGATGCACGTTTCCCGTTCCAGTATAAATCTGCCTATGTCTATCGAGCGGTTTTATCGCTGCAGATAGGAGGAATAGATGGGAATCAGTTGTAGAATGCCTAATACTTTACTTCCTTGATAGCGGGAATGAAATTACGATACCTGTAGATATTAGTTTGGGCCCACCTCAAGATGACAGAAAATAAAAGTGAACCACGTTAAAGATATCGATTAGATTGCAAATTAATAACAAAAGATTAATACTCGAATGAATTTACAAGTGCTAAAGCGACACAGAAATTTTCTTAAATCTCTAATATCCGTACATTTTTACAGAAAATATGTGACGTGTGCAGTCGTCGAGAATGCGATTAAAATTAGAGGAGGACAGCGCAGCGGTGTGATCGCGCGAGCAAAAGGTGGTGTGGTGGTTCAAAACAGAAAAGAAAAAGGTGGAGGAAGTCCGGACAGATGTGACTCCGAGCGAGATAGGAAGAACTGCTTACGCAAATGCCACGTCTGGCCCCGGTGGAATGCGGTAAAAACCGGCGGTTGCGAACCGGCGAGAGAAAAACCATCGCCATCGTGCCCGACCGTCCGGCAGATGGGTTACTACTTTGGTCCGGGTTCGGGGCAGTGCTTGCATACACGCTTGCACACGCTCGTACACGCGAGCGTACATCTGGAGCCTGAGGAAAGAGCATGGAACATCGACTTCATATTTCCAGGATGAGTGTCCGTGTATCGAACCGTGTCGAGAGGCGAAGAAACTTTCAGACAAATTTTCACGAAGAAAATAGAAGTCTGTCGAGGTTGCTATTTTATGAGAACGATCAAAGTTTTATAATGTGGGCCACGGGGGGGGGGGCGGATATAAAAATGGATCACTGGAATTTTAATCCTTTTAAAGAATAATCATCATTTTCATGTCGGTCACCTATTATCTCCTAAAAATATACCGATTAGAACTGTGATTAAAACCGATTCACACACTTTCGAGATTGATATACATTCACAGCATTGTGTTCGTATTATGGTTGAGGATCGTACGTAAGATTCAATCGATTCACAGAAATTGTGCTACATTGTACACATTAATTTTGATAGCATAGTAATTTCAATATTAGATAGCGGGTATAAAATCGGGTATAAATAGAATCGAATGCTAATTACGTTGAAAGATAGTGGATTACTTATTAATACATCTAACAGATTTACATTTTCAACTAGGATTATTGTACTGCGATTAGTAGACTGCGGATGTTATGTATTTATAGCCTATGGGTATCTGTGAAATATAATCAAGATCAAAACTTTCGTCAGATGCAACGAGTTTTATATTTTCCTTTGAACCCAATTAGATACCTAAGGGAAGAAAGAAATTTCTACTTTTCTTTTTGTATTTATGAACAACCTTAAGAAATTTGATTTAGCATAAAAATCCGCAGTCTAGCAATTAGTACGCGATCATCAACCGGTGGAAAGAATGAAATTCGTCGTAAGGCACCGACGAAGCCGGATTTGCCTGGATGCTACAAGACAATTTACAGAGACGCAACGATGGATCCGCAAGTAGCATCAAGGAGTCGACTCGTGACAAGGGATGACAATGACGGCGATGCCGAAGATGCTTGTGGACGTGGATTAATAAAGGAAGGCCAAGCCGGGGGAACAATTAGATCGAGTTAACGGGCAACTTTAATCTTCTGTCGTCCGTCAGTCGTTTACTGCGTAGCGATCTGCCGCTATTAAAGCCGTTACACACTTCACCGTTCTGGAACCCCCTTCCCGTACTGCCTGTCGGAGGAAAGAAATGCTGACGACTCGCGCGGCTCAAAGGCGGCGTCACCCGGGCCTGAGTGACGGGAAGATGTGGGTTTTCAAAAACGGATTTTTCATCCTCGTGTCACTACCTTTTTAAGCCTAATCTTCGGCGTAACATTTCCGATGAAAGGATTTGATAGAAAATGTTACGACGAATGCGATGGATCCCAGCATCGATTGAATGGACGAGGATTAGCAGATTGTCGGGAATTATACTAAAGCTGCTGGTCCATCGTGTTAACGATGCATCAATTTCAACGGGCATTCTTGCCCTTTGCTATCGATCACAAATGTCTTGTTTGCATCAAGAAACTAATTGAAAACAAATTTTGGAGAAACTAGTATTACAAGATGTCCAAGATAAGTCTCATATTTGACATTCTAGGGATAAGACAGTCCATTCTCAAATGCTATCAGACACAGAAATATATGTTGCACTATTATTCATAATCATTAGATAATATTCGTATTGTCAACTTCCAGGTTGTACGAGTTTCTTTCTATCCCGTAAAAAAGCATTAGACAGAATTTTCTGTAACAACCTGATATCATTCAATTAATCCAAATAGTTTCCACTTCGAGTGTACGCGACTGGACGTGACTGAAAGAACCAGGAAAGACTTGCTCGACTTAGGATCAGCCAGGGGAGTGCACGGCCTCTTATAGGTGGACGTCAACCAGCAAATGAATGACCACGTGCACTCAGAAGGAGTCGGAAGAGGTCGGTGTATGCCGGAGCGTTTAACATGAGAAGATGCTACTAATTCAGGGTAGGTAGAACTGAGAGACCGACCGTCGTACGAGCACAAAGGAGCCGACGGTCCGAATCCCTGTGCTGCGCCTCTAATCTGCTCCAATTGGGACGGCAGGAGTTAGAAGGGCCGATGTCCCTCCGCGGGTATGACGCGTGCTACCATTTATCCCAATCATCGGACGACCGGTCGTCTCTTAACGATCGACAAATAAAAACTACTCGTCATCCGGAGGCTGAGGAGGAAGCTGAACGGCGCAACTAGACGTTCCATCTGTACACCTTTTTTCACGACCGGTCGGAACGGACTTTGTCGCATTAAAACACCATTAGACGACAGAATTCGTAATTTCCTGGGTCCCCGCCGCCTTTCCAACTCGCGCAGATCGGATATGACAGATGTTAATTTTCGTTAATTTCGACGAGTTTGACCTATGATGATTTCAAAAGCAGCAACTATTGTCTCTCTGTGTAATTGATGATACTTGGGGGATGTGTCGCTGGACACTTTGGAGCAAAGGCTAAAGGTCTTTGAACTTTACTGTCCTCATTCTCCACTTGTTTTTGGATGCTAATTTATAGTACTGAATAAATGGACCCTTTTTTTGTAGATTCTAATACATATGGTTTTAAAAATATTTTCTTGTTAATACTCAGTGCTCACCTGTATGACTCTTGGGCAAAGACGGCAAGTTCGTGACTTCCACAGCGTTTCCAAAAGGGGCCCACAGTCTGGGGAACATCAAACGAACGTTGCATCCACCTGAAAGCAAAGAATACACCGTCATGTAGTAGACGTTCGGAAGTCTACGATCTAACGTTTCATCGAATCGAAGACGAAACAAGAATCGAACGTATTCGTGCATCGTCATGTGCGTCGCTGGAGCAGTCGCAAAAGCGACGTCTCAAGCCCCGTGAAAAATTTCGTATTCCCGTTCCGTAGGAGAGATCAACCCCTCGACAAGAGCGTCTTTATTAGAAAGAAGGGAGGCCCTTCTCTATTTATCAACCTTGCCCCGGCCATTACTCGTTCTCTTTCTGCCTGCATTCCTATCTACGGCATCCACCATTAGTTTTCCAGGCTTCTTTGATCGGCTTTGCTACCACGCCGGAATTCGAACTCCCCCGCCCGATGACTGCAAATCTCGCGAATCAAAGTACACACGAGTCGGAAATTTTCATCATAGCCGTTGAACCTTCATCGTTCAAAGGTGGGAAAAGAAAGAAAATAATCCCTGATCTCAGACGATGGACTGGATGACTTTCCTGTAATCGTGCTACCTTATCGGACTCTGCTATTGCGTTTCTTGGAATTGGCTAGCTTTCTTGGCCACGACCGATTAAAATCGATTGTATCGAGAACATTCGAAGAGGAATAAGAAGAAGAAAAATAATACACATACATAGACGCACAAGGAACAAGAAAAAGAGAGAGAAGAAATGAAATCCGTAATCCGGGCAATATAGGACCGGTCGGGATAATCTGAGATAGCGGGGACGGAGATTAGCGCGCCACGCCGCAAAGGCTATCTCATTCTCGCAGGATTATCAGAAATAAATCATATTCTCCTATAAAGCGAAGCACACCACGCGGCCGAGATAAGATGACCAGGCGGTTAGGTATAACAACATCGATACCGGCGTGTGTACACACTGCAGGTAATACGTGTTTGTTGCCCGTGAGCATCGACGATATCGGCGTTTGCCCGTGCGACGCTTATCCCCGGTGCCGTGTCTCTTTCGCGGCCTATCTTTCGGGTCGTAAATCTATAAATGGTAAATCGTATAGCGTGATTTCCGGAGGAAAATCGTGGCCAATTTGCGGGGACACCTGCGAGGGGGCCCAAATTTATGTTGGTACGTCCTAGCTTGGTTGATTCGTGATCATTGAAGGTTAAGTACTGCAGTCTCGATACGAAAGTAACATAAGAAATTAATCTTTGGTATCGCGAGGTATGGCGGCAATTAAAATAGTCTGAAACCTTCACAGACGACTTGGCAATAAATATCCGAATTAGCGCAATCGAATGTATTTAAATGGTAACTGTTAACCATCTATATTATTATCCTTACTGTCATAACTTTGTTAGTTGGACTATTATTCTTTTCGGCTGAACATGTCATGTGGGACAATAGAGGTCAGAAGTTAAAGACTTAAATTTATAGGGAACTCTTTCGTCACCTTTCTGAAATGGAGTCTATGAACCACCCACTATAACAGTGTTTCCTAACCTTCCTTGGATCATACCTGACCTGAACGCCCCGATGCCCCCCTAGCATATAATAGTAAACCAAATTCTGGAAAAGTTTAAAACTAATAGCTTGTCGACGAGGTGATGAATGTCAATGATTTGCTAATTGCCCCTCACCCCCCATCAAATATTCAAATTCTCCCCCAGTGGGGAGTACGCCATTGGGAAACACTGTTTTACAATATTACATAGCCCTGTCATACAATATTACATACAAAACACTACATAACCAACACCGTCAAATCCCCCAAGCATCATCGCCTCAAATCACCCTCCAAACAAGACACTAAGTCCGCCACCCTTAAGGAACCACCTCCACAACCCTCTCATGCCCATCACCTGGCAATTAACGGTTAAATCACTTAGCTCGATTCAGGTCGACAGACTCTGTTGGGTTGATATTATTGCGTTAGCTATTAGCCCGATTAGCCAGTATTAGTATAGGCGGACGTCTAACGCAGCGCCGTTCATCCCCTCTCACCTGTTGAACAGCCGTGCGTCCTTCACGCACCTGCACGCACCCAACGCAGAACGCGTGCAACGCGACGTTTCAGGGGCGCTGTGCGTGTGTGCATTCGCGCGCTCGAACCGCCGCCAGGACCAATCGGCAGACTCGTCTGTTCCGGGACCGATTGGTGCAACCAGAGGAGAGTGACACGCGTGTGCGTGTTCCGATACATACGCGCGGATGGCTCAGGTGACAGCACGAATTCATGGGCGTAAACGGTGCAGGCGCGGTGCAAGGATAATAGGAAGGTAATAGATAGCATGATGACAGGCGACAACGGGATGAATGTCAAGGGGGTTGAGGCGAGGGGGATGCTGAAACGATCGGGTTTGATGCGGTCGAGGGAAAATGGGATTCTGTGGCGCTGCACTTGATTCTTGGATTTACCGAATTGAAATCGATGCGAAGGACGATTTTAATCATCTTTCATCGAGATTGCTACTGATGGATTAACGGTCTAATCTATTGCATCGAGTTATAAATATGTAAAGTCCCCCTTGTTCGCGAAGCAAATTTAATAATTACGAGTATTGAGTGAATTTTAATCTATCTGGAACATTTTAATTCTGAACTTCAGAATTTATGGGTCTGACACGTCCGAATGATTGTTGATGAAAAGTTCATTGCTAAGTATTGCAATTGAGGAATATTAATATTCTTCCTCGATTTCCTGGGTCTAGTACACTTTGTGACAAAATTGTAATATTCGCGAGTAATTGATATTAGCACCAAAGGGTTGTCACTGGACCAATTTTTGTTTCTGTTTATAATCAATTACCGTTACAGTGGCTTTATGGGTCGTTTCTAGGGATGACAGCTCAACAAATCCCTACCCGTTTGACAAATCCGAGCGCAATGACGTAACTGCGATTTCGAAATCACACGATCCTAATTCAATTTAACTACGCACACTGGATAATTTATATTCTACCGTTAATTTATTACATAACGACGTTAAAATTCGTCTCACCTTCAGCCTCCACAGGAAGCTGCGGATTCTCCTGGAGATTCTCATTGTTATTCGCTTCCGGCGACAACGCCTGCTGATGCACCAACGCGGACGCCTGTTTTGGTTTGACAACGCGAAATGCGGACGCCTCGGCGACACCCCTTCGCGAAAAGTCCAGAGGACCCACCCCTACAGGCGAGTGTTGCTGCTGCACTTCCATCATCGTGCTCGGTCAGTTCGATATCTCACTATTCCTTAAAACAATCCTCGCCTCGCACTTGTACACGACATCCACCACGCCGAATCCTGTATCGTCCTTCACCACCACGGATACTCGAATGTCAATGAACCCATTCACCCTTTCGATTCGCGACGAAACTAATAACAATACAGTCTCCCCGAATCTTTTTCACTGGCACTGTTTACAATGTTTGCTCGACGATCTTCATCCCTTTCCACTAAGGACACCTCAGCAATCCCACGGGGGTGTATAAATCGGAACGAAAAAACTGCCTGAATCAACCTCAAAGACCTCCAATGTTGTATGTACCGATGTTTCCCGTACGAGCACCGACCTTCAGACTTCGGATGTTCGTCGTATAATGAAACCACGTATCTCATGGAACGAGGTTCCGGCTGTCGAGGACACTGATTTCCGTGCGGCCCATCGGCCCGGACAGGTCAGGAACGGCGAAGCACCGTCACCCGGGGATGTGAGAGACGTTATAGTGGGTGCCTCGACGCCGACTGCTGTTAACGGGTCTGATAGTGGAGGAACTCCCATGCGATGACGGCCGAAAGTCGCGAGTTAGACTGGCGAGAAAGAGAGACAGAGCGATGGAGTGGGTGGGGCGGGAGGGGGAAGAATCGCACACGAGTACGGTTCGTTCGTTCCGCGGTGATGTACTGTGGGATAAAGAGAGACAACGTGACCAGGAACACCCACACAGATGTTGGATGTACGCCGGGATTTTCGACGGAGACTCCGCCTCCGAGGCACGCCTCCTTCGTCCCTACTCCACCCCCACGAGAACCACTCGCTATGGCACTAGACGGCCGCACACACTAGCAAACAAGTTCACGATGTACACCACGAGGCACACAATTGGACTCTACCCGGAGCTACCGTACGCTCCTAACAACCCCACCGAAGCGCACACTCGACAGGATCGATGTGTGTGTAGATGGGATGTATGTAGCTGGGGGATGTGTTTATTCCTTTACCAGGTGGTACGGCACACGAGGTTATGCGTGTGTGTGGGGTGGTTCAATGTGTTGTAAATGTACAGACATTGAACGTATACGGTGTGTGGAACGCTCTCTCACCTCCGGTTGCAGCATTATGTGGAACCACTCGACCACCCTGATTCTACTCTTGACTCCACTGATTGATATTTGTGCGCGCCGCGCCTCACCCTCGAGCACGGAAATAAATGTAGATGACCGACCCCGTTTTACGGTAGGTTGGATACAGGTTCAAGTGAACTACTCGCGATGCGCTCGACCTGTGCTCTAGAAGGACGTGTAGGTCCGAGGAAATGTGTCGAGCTGGTTGGCTAGAGGCTTAGGAAGGTGGTGAAGGACGAGGGGTAAAAATAGTGGTTTGGTGTTTGAAGTTGCAGTGAAGAACTGGAGATTGGGTCGTGTGAGAATGATAGAAACATTGTGTTGTTTACTATCGACACGGAAAATATAAAATTCTAATCTATATAGGTACATAAAGAACGTGAAATGTTGAAGGTACATTGTTTTGATGACGTAAACAACATAGTGTTGTTTACTATCGACACGGAAAATATAAAATTGTAATCTATATAGGTACATAAAGAACGTGAAATGTTGAAGGTACATTGTTTTGATGACGTAAACATCCACTAAGGAAAGATTTATCGAAATATAACCCCTAGAAGGGTTGAAAAATGATAAAATATATTTTCTAGGAATCTTTACTATCACTTTGTTTTTTACTTTGGAATGCTACTTATTCGAAAGCCTGGAAAAGTAATATTTACTGCATATTCGATAAGTGTCCTAATACTTGTAAAGGGGGGAAGTGTATATATTAAAAATAATAATCGGTGATTTACGTTCGACTGTTCACATCTTCCGTGTAGAGACACGATCCCCCCTGAGTTTCCTCATTTTCTGGATAAGAGTGCAAGCAATTTTCTCGCGAAGATAGAACGGCCTAGTGGCAGCGACGAGCTGCTGCTCGTAGACGACGATGCGAGTGAGTGAGTATGATTGATGCGGTTTGTCGTTCCCTCCTGACGCCTAACATCTCGTCCTGCCTCGTAGCTACGCTCCTGACAACACTTCTTTTGGTCTCTATGCGTTCACCACCTTCGCGGTCCAACCTTTTATCCTGGTTCATCTGAGCGACAGCGTGCTGATGGAGGGTGGGTTTCACGAGAACTTTGGGGGTAAGTGGGGAAAAACCACTGTAACTTGTTTTTTTTTAATCTATTCGTTTCTGTTAAACCCTTTAACGATGAATCTTACAATACGTAACCCCCTTTCTAACACGTTCGCTGTAGCTCAGATGTTCGAGGGTGTACAGTAAATCCTCGATGATTGTCCGAAGGCTCCTCGACACTGAACATTAAATATTTCATTCCAAGCTATGCTAAACCTCATTACAAAGTCAGCTTTACACCTGAGAACCTCTCCTTGCCTCAGGAGTCTTCGAAAACTCATCGAGAATTTACTGTATTTTTACGCGAAATTCTTTCATGGAACAAATATTTATGGATTTAAATTGTCGTTGCAAGTCGAACGTACGTGTTCATGAGATCGACGTGGAAAATTCTTCGACAACGATAACCAACGCGCAGAATACGAACAACGAGCAATAAACAGTTAATCGCTTAAGCTGTAGATTGCACGGACGACAGTCGTTCGATCTGTACATCCTCGTAGATCACCGGTCGAAATAGTGCGTAATTGGCGGGCCCCGGTAAGCTCGAAAATTTCGAAGGGTAACCACGATGAGCCTCGATTATCGTGACGAATGGTCTGACTGGCAGCAACAAAAAAGAAAAGAAGAAATCGAAGTGGAGGGAATCACGTGAGCTCGACGATGACAACTGCGCAACTCGCTTCAAATTCCTTTCCCGAGAAAATCGATGCATTCTTAAAAATGCCCGGAATCCCTCGAATCATCGATAATCTCTCTATGTCTCTCTGCGTTTCCATCCCCTCTCCGTAGTGTTTTTTTATTGAAGAAAAGAAAAACGGAGCGAGACGCGCCGAATTAATGCGGTGTGATTGATGCAACGGAAGAGGCTCGATACAATTTCAACATATTTCGATACGGTTAAGCGCTGATAATTTACAACTCGTATAAAAATTCTATGGTCCTGGTAGCATCGAACACGAAAACAACGAGTCGCGTTTATCGAGCTGTTCCCCTTATGGACTCTGAAACTCGATGGAAATTTTGTAAAATATCTGACAGAACGCTCCCGAAAAAGTTCAAGAATTCTATGGTTATAATATAGTAGAATAGACACGAATTTTAAACTATTTTTTAACAATTCTATAACAGGTATAATCATTGTGGAATATTTAGAAAGACCTAAGAATGGAAGAAGTTAGAAAACGTTGAAACGTACAATGGAGAAAAATGATATGTTTGGACACTGATTTAGTTGTTATCTGTAGTAATCCTAAGGAGATAATTTAATAGACAGAATGGTACTTAAACGGGAAAGAATCAGGGCAACGACTGCCATGGACGGAATTCTGTGCGAAACGAAAATTCAATGAAACCGTAATCGTTTTCAAGAAGAGATCGTTTTATCGGTTTTCTTTATTCACGGATACGTATTAAATGTTACCGCGACGACCGAACCTGCCCATGTTTGTTTGCACAAGTATATACCGGACGTGATTTACAGGCTGCAAGATAGCTTAATCCATCGGCACACAGATGGACATCTACGAGCTGTGTAGCGATCGTTAAGTATGTCTCACACCAGGCACGACAGGCTGTTCGTCGAATCGTCTGGCACTCTCTCCGATCCATCATATTCATAATACGAACAACTCGCGGAGAATCTCTACGGACAAACAAACCATGAAATCATGCTTTTAAAAAGACGATTAATCAATCAAAGAATTCGTCTTCTTATCGCTGCAATTATGTAAAATACACGTACACACTTGTTAAGCCATATTGGGAGTATTCACAATGTTTCGATGAACATCAAAGTTCAAGGCACCAAATGTAGATTAGAAATGATCTACTGAACGACTTAGAAAACTATTTCTTCACCTTTTTATCTCCCCTAAACAATAGAACTCTTTCTACGTACACTACCGACCAGAAGTATCCAGACACTGATATGATGATGGAAATCTGTGAAATATTCTAGGAATATTTATAAATATTTTCTATACAAAATGTTTCTATTAGTTTTTATAACCTTATCGAAAGTGATTATATCGTTAAAGAATAACGTGGTATTTACCTAGAATATATACAAAAGGAACAAGCTTTAACTACTTTTCTCTAAGTTCTGTTGTATTTTTATGCGTTTAGTCGAATATCAGTCATATCAAAATAACAAAGCTTGTCAGTAAGACGATGCAGGTGGCTGGTTAAGATTAGTTCACGTTTAACAGTGCAAGAGATTGCGAACTCGAGCTCTAAAGAAGAATTTAGTCAAAGGTGAAATTAGTCAAAGAAAGCTATTCAATTGGGTAAATAGTATTAGAAACATCCATCTTATTTATTGCAAAATTGCAGCATTCTAATGTATTGTCTATAATGTAAATTTTAAATTAGATATTAAGATATATTAAATTGAACTATCTCTTTCAGATCCGTCTCGTCACGTTCGAAGAACGTGATTTTATAAATTAATAAATTCAGGGGTGTTCAAGCGTGAACAACAGGCACTTTTCTACTGGCGAATCGTATCATCCACCTTGACAAAGTAGTTCAATGTGCCGGATACAGGGGACGAGCGGCTGGCGCCACGAATTTAACACTTGATTGTCCCGTCGAACAATTGTTTCGCCGGTATTATAACAAGCCTCACGCTCGTGTCTTCTCTCGGAGGCCAGACGAGAGGACGCGCAAGATGAGTCACTCCCTCAATCAAGGAGAAAACATATTAGCGATTGTCTTTACCAATTGGGGATGTGGGTGATGGCTATCGTCGGGGCTGAAAACGATACGTGAACAATAATAGTACAATAATTCGTGTGATATTACAG